CAACCTTGTGCGACACATGTAAAAATATTTTGGGAAACCAGCTATTTTGTTCTGCAGTGTTCCTTAATTGGGGCTTATGATAGTGATAAACACATGTTTGGGGGCAGGATGACTTAACTGGGGCTTTGTTTTTCAAGTTCACAATCTCCATGGTCCAATATAATCTCCAGAAAGCCTTGAATGACAGGAAGTTAGAACAACTTCTCCCCAGTGGCAGCAACTCCTTTTGGCCTAACTTTTCTTCCTGACTCTTCATTTCTTCTTTCTGCCTTTCTTATTTGCTTGTTTAGCATCACGTGCCCCATTTACTTTTGGGCAATCTGAGTGTTTTTAGATACTAAATAAAATTCAGCAACCCAACAAAACCAGTGCTAACATGGACATGACATGTTCAGTGATTAGGGACCGACCATCAGTGCCGTAGACACTTGTACCATTAAATGACACTGAATGATAGTTGTCAGGCTCAAGAAAGTAGGCTTGCCCACATGACACCTCCGTGTAGAAGCAGGCACTAAGGGCAGAGCTGTGTCTATATTGCAGGACCCCATTGGTATGCATCTCAACCTGCCCACATATCAAGGAGATGGTGGCATCTTTAGAATTCCCAGGAAGCCGACCGATGAGTCCAGAAGAACAAATTAATGTGATGATACAGCAGGACTTAGAAATAGAAAACAGAGAAGCCAAGCCATCTGAAATGGATTTGGAGGTACGTTCTTACTGGTTTTTTCCCTCTCTGTTTGCTGCTAAGTCTTATTCTTGGCACCTCGGTGGCTCTAAACTGGGGTGTGAAGAAGAATCATCTGGGAAGCATATTTGAAATAGCAGTGCCCAGACCCCATGGCAGACTAGTGATGGAGCTTCGTGTGTGTGTGTGTGTGTGTGTGTGTGTGTGTGTGTGTGTGTGTGTTACACACAGTTCTCTGCTTTAATAAGTCCTGGAAACCAGTGCCTTTGGATCCTCTTGCAACACACTTGTAAAATGATAACCCATCGACTGCCAGATTGAACGGAAAACAAGCAAACACTGCTCCTGTGCCTTTCTGAGACTGTGGATTCTGCTATTCCAACTGGCTGGTCCTGAGCTCAGGCCTAGCAATTCATTCCCTCAAGGTATATGGGTCTGCCTAAATTTTCATAACAGTCACCTGTATACTCCACCACATTCATGGATATTTTGGCAGCAAAGGTAAATATCCATGTTGAAATATGCTCTGTCAAAACTATAAATATATTATTATGAATATTTTCACTCCCCCTCCCATACGTGCTCAGCCTTCAACTTGTGGATCACTTTTTACAGGATTGTTTGTAAAGCATTTCATTCTTTTGCCTTTAACTCTTGCACTCAATGTCTTTCGCTGCCTCCATTATTTATTTTTTCTGACTTCCCCTTATTGTGTATTCCCCTTCACCCAAGTTCATACATGTCTACTCTCTAGCCAGTAATTTATTACCCCTCCCCTCCCCATTCCTGGTAACTACCAAAAGAATATTTCTTTTAGTGAAAAACATTTTCCTTTCTTTTTATGATAGTGGTCTCAAACAATGTATGTCCTTTATTGACTCACTTATTTCATTCAGCATAATGTTCTTTAGGTCCATCCATGTTAATAGGTGTTTGGCAGATGTGTCGTTATTTCTTAAAGTTGCATAGCAATCTTTATGTGCATGTACCTAATGTGTTTAGCCATTCTTCCACTTGTGGATTATCCATTCTTCCATTTGTGGATTATCCATTCTTCCACTTGTGGATTATCCATTCTTCCATTTGTGGATTATCCATTCTTCCACTTGTGGATTACCCATTCTTCCACTTGTGGATTACCCATTCTTCCACTTGTGGATTATCCATTCTTCCACTTGTGGATTATCCATTCTTCCACTTGTGGGCATTCAGGTTGTTTCCATCTTTTTGCTATTAAGTATAGTGGTATGATGAACATGGGTGTGTATATACCTGTTCATATCAGGGCTCTTATCTTTCTAGGATATATGAGGGGTACCACAAAACAAACAAACTAACTAACTAACTAATTCAGAACTGTGCTGGGTAGAGCGGAGCTTTCGTAGTATGCATTTTTCCCTGCTAGGTGAGCATCAAGCAACTCACTCTGAGTTAGTACACCCAGTGGCGTCTCCTAGGAAGGTTCTCTCTGGTCACAGTGAATGAAAATGTTGCCTCATAGTGCATTTGGAGTTTGTTCTACTAGGTCAGACTGTTAATCACGCTTTCTATTTAGAGGTTCTGAAAAGATTGCGTAACAGTGTGCAACCCAAAAAGGTCTGATTTGTAGCAGATGGGAGAATGGTTTTGCCACCACATGCAGCCACAGTATGCCAGTTTTGGGCAAAAAACCCTGCATGCCTCTCTTGTCCCACACACCTTATTCACCTGACTTCACTTCGTGGGACTTCATGTTTCTGCAAATAGAAGCAATATGAAAGGACTGCGATTTGGTGAAGTAGAAGAGGTGACGAAAAAAATGAGGGAGGTGCTGTCGACCATCCGAACATGAGTTTGAAAAATGTTTCCAAGAAGGGAATCACAGATTTGACCAATTTATTCATTGTAATGGGGAGTATTTTGAAGGTGATAATGTTGTTTTGAAAGAAAATTAAATACCTCACTTTGAAAAAGAATCCTCATATCAAGTAGAGGGATTGCTGGATCATATGAGATATTTCCACTACCAGTGTCTTAAGAAAGAGCCATACAAATTCCCACTGCCGATGCACCATTGTACATTCCCAGCAGTATGAGGGTTCCCGTCTCTCTGTACCCTCGTGAATATTACTTATTGTTTTCAGTTTGTTGGTTTGTTTTACTGGGCTATGAATACTAGGGTGAGGTCATATCTTATTGTTATTTTGATTTGCATTTCTCTAATACAGTGTTTCCCAAAGTGGGTGATACTACCCCCTGCAGCAGGGACACTGGACCAATTAAGGGGGCTGAAAAGCAGGTACCTACACCTTATCTTGGATTATGGCTTTAGTACAAAAGTTTTTTATTGCCAAGTGGTGCTGAGTAATTTTTCTTTTCTTTTTTTTTTTCCTGAAAAAGGGGTGGTAGACCAAATAAATTTGAGAACCTATCTCTAATAGGTAATGACCACAAACATTTCATGTTTGCTGGCTGCCTTAATGTCTTCTTTGAATGTCTTCTGTTCGTGTCCTCAGAGATTCTTCTAAGATACAATTTGCTCTTTTTTTGTTTTTAATTATCTTTTACTTTTCCATAATGACTCTGGTCTTTGGATATTAGTTTTCAATGCATCACATCTATTCTTCATATGATTTCTAGATTCAGGTGGCATTATAAAATGGTGCAGTCACTTTGGAAATTATATGGTACTTCCTTTAAAAAGTAGGAAATACAAATACCAAATGCCCCAGCAATCTCTCTATTGTTATTATACAGTGATGTTGAGGCAGTTCCAACCCATTTGACCCTGTATACAACAGAGGGAAGTACTGCCCAGTCCCGCACCATCTTTACAAATTGTTGTAAGTTTGAGCCCATTGCTGCAGCCACTGTGTCAATCCATCTCCTCAAGGGTCTTCCTCTTCCTTTCTGATCTACTTTACCAAGCATGATGTCCTTTCCTAGGGACTTGTCTCTCCTGATAACGTGTCTAACGTATACCACCCTTGTTCCAAAGGAGCACTCTGACATACTTCTTCTGAGTTATATTTGTTCTGCTGGCTTTTCAATATTCTTTGCCAACACCATAATTCAAATGCTTCAATTCTTCTTCACTCTTCCTTATTGATTGTACAGCTTTCACCTGTATAGGAGGTTACTGAAAATACTAGGGCTGGGGTCAGGTGTACCTTAGTCCTCAAAGTGAAATCCTAGTTCTTCAATACTGTAAAGAAGTCTTGTGTAGCAGATTTGCCAAATGCATTGTTTGATTTCTTGACCTCTGCTTTCCATGAACACTGATTGTGGATCCGAAAAATGTAAAATCCTTGACAACTTCAGTCGTTTCTCTACTTATCATGATGCTGTCTGTTGATCCTTAGTCAGCTTGCCGGTCTGGAGGTGAACTCATCTCCTCGACTCCATTGTAAGCCAAACAATAAACATCTTTAAGGTAAATGATAATATTCCATGGAATAATCAACAATTTGAGATTGTAAGAGGCAGAATTTGCCCAGGTTCACTGTTCAAAAGGTAGGAAGGCTTAGGAAAGAAGCAGAGTTGGAAATGGGAAACACAGAGAGAAAGTGGGATATGTGACATTACATTTTGGGGATTGTAATCAAGGACACTTGAAAAAGCATGAGTGTTAAATGGAAGGCTTACTTGTGCTGTAAACCTCCACCAATCCACAATAAAACCAATAACTCACAGTGACTACACAGCTGTCCTTGGCAGAGTTCCATGGTTAACCTGCTGGATGACGATTCTCACTGTATGGATGTAGAATTTGAAGTATAGATTGATTAAGTAATTTGCCTAAGGCAGTGATTCTCAACCTTCCTAATGCTGCCACCTTTTAATACAGTTCCTCCTATGGTTGTGGTGACCCCCACCCCCACCAACCATAGAATTATTTTCGTTGCTACTTCATAACTATAATTTTGCTACTGTTATGAATTGGGCAATCCCTATAAAAGGGTCATTCGACACCCCCCCCCAAAGGGGTCACGACCCACAAGTTGAGAACCACTGACCTAAGATTTCACAGTAGAAGCCCAAACTAGAATTAGACTAGGTTAGGCTGGTACCATCAGGTCTTTATGCTCTTAAGAGCTATCCAACTTCTCTAAAGAGAAAATTCACTTGGAGAGCTTGTTTTTAAATTCCCAAACTGCATGAGGAGGGATCTAGGAATCTGAATTTTAAGAAGAGCCCCAGACAATTCTAATCATCAAGCATGTGTGGCATTTCGGTTGAAGAAAGGTGAATGCTAATTCCTAGCCACTGCCTCCATTAGCACTGCAGCTCATGGCTGGTTTCAACTCCCTTTCTTATACTTTTCTCTCCTCATCCCTAAAGGACTGTTCTTCCTAAGGCCGTTCAGCTGGCCAACAGCTGAGAGACAATTATACGTATCACTGGACCTTTCTGAAGCCCACACATCACACTGGCCATTTTTTATTAGTTTGTGAACTTACACTGCTTTTTAAACTTACAAGCCCATGGATGACTTAGAAGAACGATGACAAGTCTCAATGGGACTTCTGAGGTTCCTTTCCCACTGTCGGCTACAACATGCAGTCAAAAGAGGATGAAGTATTTGGGTTAATTTTAGCATACTGATCATCAGCTGTGTGTCTCCATTCCCATTTTCAAGGCATTTGACAGGCCTGTCTTCTCACAAATACTCACTGCCATCAAGTCGATGCCGATGCATAGTGGCTCCACAGGACAGTGTAGAACTGCCCCTGTGGGTTTCTGAGACTGTAACTTTATTTTTAAAACCATCATTTTATTGGGGGTACTTACAGCGCTTATGAGACTGCAACTCTTTACGAGAGTAGAAAGTCCCATCTTTCTCCTGAGCAGTGGCTGGTGGTTTTGAGCTGCTGACCTTGCAATTAGCAGCCCAACGCTTAACCACTGCACCACCAGGGATCATAGGACTCTCTTATTACCCCCTGAAATCCCTCCGACAGGTTGACTGCACCAGAGAGATGGAGGAAACTTGTCCTAGAATTCATTGCCATCAGTGTTAGGTGGTAGGTCCAGCGAGCTTGATGGCAGCCCATGAAGAGTGAGGAGAGGAGATGTGTGAACAAGGCCCCTTGGTGGCAGATGGGTGTGGGCAGCTGGCCATCATTATTCAACCCTGGTCATTTCCTTGTTGTTTGTTTTTTTACTGGAAGAGGTACTACTACTACTTGATCCATGGGATCCAGAAAGACATGATTGCCCCGGAGGCAGAAGAGGTGATGGCTCGAATTTTAAAGCTGACTCCTAACAAGCTGCCAGCCCACACCTTGGAACCCCTACTCGAGGAGCTTTGTGAAGAGAAGAAAAATGATTATTACAGTAGCCTCATGAAGAGCATTGGTAAGGTTAAACATGCATGCCCGGGCAGAGAGAGGGCTTTCGTTTCCTTTCAGTTCTCCCTCCTGGGTCCAATGAAAAGGTCAAAGATGTCAGTTAACTTTCAGTCCCACAGTGCTCCCACTGCCCCATCGTTAATGTCCATACCCATGCTTTCCACACTTTCATGTGCAGACAAATCACCTAGGCATTTTATTAAACTACACGCTCTGATCCAGTCAGTCTGGGAAGAGGCCTGAGAGCCTCATGAGCTCCCTGGTCACAGGAGATGGAGATGCTGCAAACTCTGGGCCCATGCTGCAGACGTCAAGGACCAGCTCAAACTTCTGGGAACCCTGGTGGCACAGTAGTTAAATGCTTGGTGGCTAACTGCACCCACTAGCCCCCCTGTGGGAGGAAGATATGACAGTCTGCTTCTCTAAAGAAAGCCTTGGAAACAGGCTATAGGGTCACTATGAGTCAGACTCAACGGCAGTGGGTTTGGTTTTTGTTTCCATTTTTTGTTTTGGTTTATATCCCCTCAACGTTCACTCCATTCTTTGAAGTCCTAGCATTTCTTGACCCAGCTTTCAACCATCCCTCCTTTTAAATGTCTCCTGTAGGTTATTCTTATAGCAAGGTTGGTGGGTCAAGCTAGCTGTTCTCCGAAGAAAGATGAAGCTGTCCTCTAAAGCTTTAGTCTTCAAACCCTTAAAGAGCATCTCTGCTCTGTTCTGTAGGCTTGCCTTGAGTCAGAATTGACCAGATGGCCGTGACTTAGGGGTTTCTCAGCGACCTGGGACAATGAGGAAGCATTTCTAAGTGTCAAGGGACAGTAACTCATTACATTCTAAACAGGGCAGCTTTCCCAGTAGGCAGGGTTTGTAAGTAAGCACAGGTAAGCTCGTGTTTGTCAGGGGCTGTAAAAAGAGACAGATTCTGTAGGGAAGTGCTGTGGGGTGGGCAGAGAGACCTGATTACCCCTGAGAAAGAAGAGGCAGTGACTCAAAAGTCAGCCATATCTAGAAGCAGAATCTTGGATGCCCTGGAAAAAAAGATGTGGAAAATTCTCCTGTAAGTAAGCCCAAGCAAACCCATCCTGGCCTTCCTCACTGAGGAATCTGACCGAGATTCTAAGTGTGGAAGCGATGACCACGGAGCGGTCAAAGGCCCTTACTAACAGAGTGTTTTCTGTTTCGCTTACAGTTGATTATATTCTCCTGGACCCAACAGAAAGGGAAAGGCTCTTTATCAACAGCACCCCGCGCTTGTTTTCTCAAAGAGTGATACGCGCCCCTGTGCCCTGGCACAATATCTACAAGTCTGCCAAGCAGTGGAATGAGGAGCATTTGCACTCGGTGAACCCCATGATGCTCAAGCTAAAAGATCTGTGGTTTTCAGAGTAAGAAGGGCCTGCCTCTTCCCCCCTTTTCTTTCCCCCACATAGAAGGGAACCTCTGAGACTGGGTACCTCACATATCATTTCCGCCCAGGAAGTGAAAGAAGATGCACAAAATTCCTAGCCCTAATACACATGTGACTGTAAGTGATAACCCCCCACCCTTCCCAAGTGGCCTACCTTTGGGTTTCCATGGCACCCCTGCCTGTGTCTAAGCACTGGAGCATACTGCCTAAGAACACAGGCTTGGGATCAGCCTGCTCAGATTGAAATCCCACCTCTGCCTCTTCCTAGATAATATGACTGTGTGACGTCACCTATCTGTACTTTGCTTTCCTTCTCTCTAAATTTGGAATAATCATTTCATAGAATTAGGAGCCCTGGTGGTGTAGTGGGCTATGCATTGGGTCGCTATCTGCCAGGCTAGCTGTTTGAACCCACCAGCTGCTGCTCCGTGGAAGGAAGAGGAGGCTTTCTGCTCCTGTGCAGATGCACAGCCTTGGAACCCCCTGGAGCAGTGCTCTTCTGGCCTCGTCAGAATTGACCTGATGGGAGTGAGCTTTTGAGATTTCACAGAATAACAAAAGAGTCCATTGTGACTCATAATGACGCTATCCGATGGAGTAGAATAGCCCCATAGGGTTTCTAAGACTGTAGGATCATTACAGAATCAGACTGCTCCTTCTTCTTTTTGCAAAGCTGCTGGGGGCTTCCAATCATCAATCTCTCTGTGAACAGCTAAGCATGCAACCACTGTGCCACCAGGGCACCTACTGGACTGATAAGAATAAATAACTTAATATATTTTAAGTACTGAGAGTGACGATACCGTGAGGGTGGAGGGAGGGTGGGGTGGAAAAGGGGAACTGATTATAAGGATCTACATATAACCTCCTCCCTGGGAGATGGACAACAGAAAAGTGGGTGAAGGGAGATGTCGGACAGTGTAAGATATGACAAAATAATAATAGTTTATAAATTATCAAGGGTTCATAAATGAAGGAGGGTGTTAAAGGGAGGGGGAAAATGAGGACC